TGGGGACCCTGCCACCATACTGGGAAAGGGACCCTCATCCTTCCAGCTGTCCCTGGACCCTGCCACCATACTGGGAAAGGGACTTCCCTCCTTCCAGCTGTCCTGGGACCCTGCCACCATACTGGGAAAGGGACCTTCCCTCCTTCCAGCTGTCCTGGGACCTTGCACCATACTGGGAAAGGGACCTTCCCTCCTTCCAGCTGTCCTGGGACCCTGCCACCATACTGGGAAAGGGACCCTCTATCCTTCCAGCTGTCCTGGGACCCTGCCACCATACTGGGAAAGGGACCCTCTATCCTTCCAGCTGTCCTGGGACCCTGCCACCATACTGGGAAAGGGACCTTCCCTCCTTCCAGCTGTCCTGGGACCCTGCCACCATACTGGGACAGGGACCTTCCCTCCTTCCAGCTGTCCCCGGGACCCTGCCACCATACTGGGAAAGGGCCCTCCATCCTTCCAGCTGTCGCCGGGACCCTGCCACCATACTGGGACAGGGACCTTCCCTCCTTCCAGCTGTCCTCGGGACCCTGCCACCATACTGGGACAGGGACCCTCCATCCTTCCAGCTGTCCCCGGAACCCTGCCACCATACTTGGACAGGGACCTTCCCTCCTTCCAGCTGTCCTCGGGACCCTGCCACCATACTGGGAAAGGGACCCTCCATCTTTCCAGCTGTCCCTGGGACCTTGCCAGAGTGCTGGGATGGGGTTCCTCCTCCTTCCAGCTGTCCCCAGCACCCTGCCACCATACTTGGACAGGGACCTTCCCTCCTTCCAGCTGTCCTCGGGACCCTACCACCATACTGGGACAGGGACCCTCCATCCTTCCAGCTGTCCTGGGACCCTGCCACCATACTGGGAAAGGGACCCTCTATCCTTCCAGCTGTCCCTGGGACTCTGCCACCATACTGGGAAAGGGATCCTCTATCCTTCCAGCTGTCCTGGGACCCTGCCACCATACTGGGAAAGGGACCCCCTATCCTTCAAGCTGTGAAGAGGGAGAGACAGGCTCAGAACAAGAGACACAGCGACAAGATGGAGAGAGACAGAGACAGACATGGGAGGACACACAGAGACAGTGGGGCAGAGACAAGAGTGACAGAAGGAAAACCAGAGACGGGAGAAGGCGAAGGACCGTTGCAGGCGTGCCACCGCTGGTCTGGTGAGACGGGGCGGGCAGTGGCTGGCGCTGGGAGCCGTCTGGGGTCGGCGTGGTGGCAGGAGGCTGGGAGCACGGGGGCACCCCGTCTTGGGGCCTGGGCAGGACTCAGTGAGCGCAGAGCGAGCTGTGCTGGGCTCCCGCGTGCCGGGCCCTGTCAAGCCACAGGACCGCGGCCTGAGTCGACAGCCGGACTCCCAGGACGTCTTCTCCCCGGGGTCCTGGGATTTCAGAGCGGTACGGGACCTCTGGGGCCGGGCCCTGAGCGGTGGCCTGGGTGCCCGCCCGTTCCACCGGACAGTGGGCCACAGGGAGCAGCCCTGGTGCAAGGCTGGACGGGCCACACGCCAGGCGGGGTGTGACGGACGAGGGTGATCCTCCGCCTGCCCAGGGGGTGGGGGAGCCCATGAACAGCCAGAGACCCTCGACCCGGAGCTGCCGTCCGTGGGCCCGAGACCACCCGGCGAGTTTCTGGGCCCTCCCGCGTGGGGCATTACCCAGCCCCCCAGGCCGTCCACCCTCCCCACTTCTCCATAGAATCCAGCCAGGGAGAGCGGATATGGGGGTCCTGGAGCCCGTGGTGTCGGAGACAGGCGGGCCGGGCGGCGCACGCGCGACGCAGCAGCGGGAGAGGACGCGGGTCCCGGGGGAGCGCCGGGCCGGCGTCCAGGAGGCCTCGAGGCTGGCCGAGGCTGCAGGAGCTCGCAATCCGCCCTGAAGCAGGCTGCCCCCACCCCTCCCGCTGCGGGTACTCACGTTGTAGCGTTCCTTGATGAGCTGGACCACGTTGCTGGATCGGTCGGACAGCTCCCCCACGGCCGACTGGGAGTGATCTCCGTGATTGTTTCCTGTCGGGCAAGACAGGCGGGCCAGCGGCCTGAACCCGGCCTCGGAACTCGCCCAGGCTCCCGCCAGTGTGAAATGCTCAACACCTCAACT